TGATGCTTCACATTTTCACTATGAATTTCATAATTCCATTTTGTATTTAAGTCAATTGTATCGGCAAACGTTTCATTTTGAGCTCTTCTACGTGCAGACATCTAGATACTGTTTTGGTATCATTCTTGAAAATAAATCTAGAAGAAAAAAGATTGCCTCAAAACTAGCAAGAGTTTGATACTAAAAATACTTTGTTTATCTATCAGAAACAACTAACGTGACAGGTACACACATATTTATGTGCATAATCTCATCAGAACCAATTTCTTGAAGAAGGGCAAGACGTGAAAAATCAACATTTCTTGAAAACGCACTATCGTTCATCCTGAAGAAGCTAATACCAAATTCGGCGTCTGAGAGACTGTAAAGGTCTGTCTCTGAATATCCTGTGTATTTGAATGGAGTGTCTCTGCTTACCCCAAGCATATAAGTGAAGTGTCTCTGATTATCCCGTGCGAGGTAATTAGAGACACTTTGATGGAGCTCTTCGCATTTTGGGTTTAGCTCAAAATTGGTCGGAGATTTTCTTAAGATTTTTACATGAGCGTGCAGAAAAATGTTCGGTCTACTACCTTGTTCAATAGCAACTTTTTCCCATCAAAAACTGCCAAGAAATAGCAAAACAAGGACAAAAATTCCAAAGACTATCTCTAATTACTCCGAAGTAACTAAATTCTGCTCGATCTTTGCCTTACGTGCATCTTACTCTATTTATTTACTTAGGGCATACCAAAAGAAGTGACATTTGAAACAGAGACCTTGATCGGCAGAAAGTAACATGTAGAAAAACACAATATTGTCTCTCTAAATGTGATTATTTATTTTATATGGTTGAATTTGTCTCTAAAGCTGGATATCCTGTTGGTGGTGATTTTCATATCAATTTTCATATAGTATTATCTTATAGAAATGCATTATAATAATCTACAATTATCATCTAGTATAATTTACTTTTTTTATTCAAAAATTAGAGTATATGATCTTTGTTGTTGTTTTTGATAGATCGTCGTGACAGTTCTGGAATAAGATTTTATTTAAGTACATCATTACGTCAGTATGATTTAGGCTGCTTAACATTTGGTGTGAAATCGAATGCATTTGGAATTGAAATACCACCACTCATGGATCGATTTGTAATTGATTGTTATTGTAATGCAAATGTAACGAAGGTATCGTAAATTTTATATATCCAGCAGCGAACGAACAGGTGGTAGAACGGCATTCCTAAAATCTACTGAATGGGTGTTCAAATTCATTTTGCACTAATTTGGGAGCCATCTGAAACGGGTTAAGGAGTTAGGGGTGTACCGTGAATAATGACGGCCTTGGTATTTTTGCTCTAACTCCTGTTCCTTAGATCCCCTAGAGCCAATTCTTTTTTTAACAGAATCGCCGTAAAATTCTCTACTAAATCATACATCATACTTTAATAAATCATATTATCATACTTTAATTTCAGAACTTCAATCAAGAAAGGTAAGCCAATTATACGAAGGGCGAAAAATATGAAAACTTTGTAGAGTTGATTAGGGTGAATTTGGAATAAAAACGCAACGCAAATTTCGCTTTTTTAATAACTTTTTTATTTTTTAACATTTTTGAAAACTGATTCGACAGATCTCTCTGGCAGATGATGACCTATCGATCTATCCAAAAACTTTTTGAAAATCTCATCTGGATCTGGATCACTGAGAGAGACTGTCTCTCTATCCATCGATTTTCTAAAATCACCCTGAATAGGGTGAATTCGTAAAACACTTAGACATGCATGGGGTGATTTTATAATTCCAGCAGAAATGGCTGGGACTGATGTTTTCAAGTTCTAATTGATTTGACATTAATTAAAACTGGAAAAAATAGATGGTTAGATAGATCAAAGTCTTCTCTACAAGCCTAGATCATTTACAAAATTATATTCTAATAGGGAAAGAATTCGAATTCGGATTTCTAAGTGTTATTGGACGACAAATATTCCAAGTTCACCCTATTTGGGGTCAACTTAGAATCACATAGTATCGCATAGGATGAATTTAGAATTCAAGCCGATTTAACTGAGAACCGTATTTTGAAATTCCTATCGATCCGTAAGGAATTTCAAAGTGTTCCTTAGATGAAACGTGTCCTAAATCACTCGAACAAATTTCATAGAGTATTTGTAAAATCCTTTCACCTCATAAGAAGTTTCCTTGGAGGAAATAAGATTAAAAGAAATTTGAAAATCACGGTTTTTATCAATTCTCTGAGTTTAAAACGTTTTTTTGACCACTCCGGTCAGTACTAAGTACACAGATACAATACAACAGAAAGGCATTACGAAAACGATTGTATATTTCTTTCTAATAATAGAAAATGAAGAAAAGTCTAGTTTTTCAGTGTCACAGTTATCGTGTTTTTCAAAATGGAAAGAACTAGTGATGGGGCGAAATATCATGAAAGGAAAGAAACGAACGAATTGCGTAATTTTCTCTTCTTTTCGGTACGGCTATACGAATTATATCTTTTCTTCCATTCGTGACTGAGGTGAAGTATACGTTATTTCGTAATTTGGTACAGCAAACAAAGGAAAACTACGCATTTCTGTTGTTATAGCCGTTTTCCCTTTCCTTCTTTCGTTTCTGACGTACCTGTTTCGGCGCACCACTAGAATGAACAAGAAAGATTGTCATTCTTTGAGACTGGTTGCTGCCATTCTTGATACAGCTTGATTAACTCACGTAAGCAGGGTGTACAATTCGGAAAGGATGTTGGCCGATGGAAGTCTTTGGTCGTATTCAATGCCTGTTCGGCCAGAAACATGTGCTTCCGATCGTGGATATACTCGAAGGTCGAACGAAATCTAATCAAACCCGTCTCGAACGGAGAGAAAGAGGCAGAGATGAAGTATCCACTGACCGAGCCTGATACTTGAGAAATAGGTAAGGCATGTTCTCCTGAAGAAAAACCATGGCGGCATCCACATCCGTTCTGGCCAATTCCATCGCATAGGTCGCCATCTGATTGTTGGCAGTGAAATCGGGCAAGAAATTCTCTCGAGGCATCGAAGGAAACGATCAACAATCTAGAGCAAGAAGAAACGTTGTAAAGATAGAATGAGAGATAAATGCGCATGGTTAGAGTGATGAAGGCTACGGGGTTACTATGAGACTAATCAGAGCGAGAGAAACGACAGACAAGTGTTCCAGCGTCAATGTTCCACGATGCACTATCATTGCATCGGTGACCACCATCATTGTCCGTGGGTCTTTCGATATTCTTCGTACATCTTTTCGAATTCGTCTGGTTCACCCATCCGTTCTTCGTTGCTGCCGAATGATGAACGGCTCGATGGCTGACGGTTGAAGAGCAGGGCATCCTGACGACGGGAGGGTCGTCGATAGAAATACTCGTCGGGACCTAGAGGCAAGGTCGAACATCGATCGATCGAACGGACTGCTCACCCATCACGTAAATGGTGGCATGTTTTTTCCAATACTCGTCCCATTGTTTTTGCTCATCGGTCACTGGTTCAGCCAGTAAGGAACCAGCATAGTCGTTATTCAACAGAATAACGGCCGGTTGTCGCACGTTGATCGCTCGTGGTTGTCGATAACGATCGGCGGCCTACAAGAACAAGACTCTCGATCGGTGACATCCCTCCCGTCTTACGAGGATTCGTTCGCTCGGTTGGGTCAAGAGGTCCTCCTTGTTCGGGAAGCCAAGTTTCTTGAAATCATCCCAGCGAATATTATCGTAGACGGAATAGCGCACATAATCATCCCACCGATCTAAACTCCATCGTCCTTGGTAGTAATTGACTCGGCCCGGTAACGACAGGGCAAAGGATGTCTTGCTCGAGTCGGTCGCTCCAGTCAGAATCAGACATTTCGCATGGCTGGTTCGTGAAACTGATGCTCTATCCAATCATTCACGGCATCACCTATGAGCAACGGTGAGAGAGAAGAGAGATCGATCCGGTCGATCATCTTGTCGCGGATGAGGTCCATCGCATCGTGTACATTGGCCTTGGCTAATTCCACTGCTTGTCGCATGATCTCTTTTTCTGGCTCACGCTGCGCCATGGCTGCCGCTGCACTGCTCGCTCTTGTGAATCGAATCGGAGCCGTTTTCGGACCAGCAGCCGTCGCTCCTTCAGCCGACCATTGTTTTACACCACGTGTTCGCGTCGACTTGAATTCGTTCAGTTCGATGTAGCGGCCCGCTTTTTTGATGTATTCATTCCACGCCAGATGATTGTTGATGACGTGATAGTTGCACTCCGTTTCAGTGATCGGATCTTGAGGGTGGGGATGAGGGTGAGAAACAGCTGCCATCATTAGTTTCAGGTCAGCTACGGCGATTATCAAATGGCTTGACTAGCTCGGATCACGAAGAATCCAGAACTAGATTCATCTACAAGAGGGCGAGTTTAAACAATTAGAATCACCACGACGCGTTTCGACTGATTTTCACAATCTCATCAGGTGGTTTCGTTGCGCTTCCAAGGAGAAATCCTTTGTCGAGTATCATGATCCAGTTTGCAGGCGTGGTGTTTGTCGATTGAATAGTTGAGATTAGTCTGTTGCACTTTGGCTGGCGTTGCATCCAGACAGGTACGGATCGCAGTAAGGGAGAGGGTAAAGGTGATCAGTTCAGACTCGTCGTTAATCAGACCAGGATGGATGTGGTTCACCACTGGTCTTTTTTGTTGTCCTTGGTCCGCTTTGAATAAAGGGTTGTCTTTCAGTTGGATCAAAGGTGGATAGGATCCAAGTGACCAAGTATCCAAGGATCCCATTCAGAGGCGGACGGCACTGAGGGAAGGTCAGGATGAATCCAAAGAGTCCGTATACCTTTGGGTTGGAAAGATGAGTCTTCTGCAGACTTCACTTCGCAATCAAAAACACCATTAAGTCTCCACTGTGCCTGAAAAGAATCCTTTTCTTGGAAAGACTTTTGCACTTCTTCAGCTGGAAGAATAACCCGGTTCACTCTTGTCATCGTCCGAAGTAGAAGGAGAAGTCCCTTCAGATGTGAGTGAAAAAGGATCACTCCAATGTTTCCATTTCAAGTTCAGTTGTTCGGGGGGAAACCTATGAAAACAAGGGAAACCAAATGGAAACCTGTGAAAATCTATGAAAAGCAATAGATACCAAGTGGAAACTAATAGAAATGAATAGAAACCTATGGAAACCAAGCGAAAAGCAGCCGAAAAACTAGGTAAACCTTTAGAAATGTAGGAAAACTGAGTGGAGTGCGTATATAGTGAAAGTGCATTAAGTGGTTATTCATTATGGCTTTCTATTTGTTTGATAGGATGTTTTCATTTCCACATCCTACTTGATTTCTTGTCATGATTAATGTCAGTAGGGTAGGGTTGGGCTTATCTTGTTGTAGTCTCTAGTTTTGTTAAAGTAATGATTAGATAGACTTCACCTGTTTCGCGCTATTGTTCGAAGATGAATTCGTTAAAGAGAAGTCGTCACAAACGCGTGTAAGATATCAGGCTCACACTCCTATGAACTGTCGAAAATCGATGCACAAGCTCACCCAATTAGACCAGCCAAGATTACTCGACGTTCCATCATTGGACTTCTCCTTTCATCCTTTTCCATCCAGATTTTCGTAAAATTCCGTACGACCCTATCGGAAAATGTTCTATTTCAGCAACATCCAGCCGTAACGGGTTATGGTAAAGAAAGAGCCTTACACGTGCACAGTATATTGTGACCGTTTCCACTGAAGTGTCAACCATGACCTCGCAGTGACTATCGCGGAACTCCAACCGGATCTGCTCTATACGACCAGTATCTACAAGAGTGCGCAGCAACTCCTAAGTGCTGAGAGGTTCGAGTAAAGTCTCCCGGAGTTTACCACGGTTTTTCATACACAGACAAGACGTAAGATGTCTCAAAAGGCTCAAAAACTCACTGCAAACCTCATCACCTCTGCAGCTTTGTAATCATGCGAGAGCAACTTCACAAACTTCCACCCTTACCTGACTATGATTCCAAGCTCTTCGTCCACTATGCCACATCAACATTCAGGCAAAGTCTTACCCACACACAGCCCTTTCGTTGTCCAACAGACATCTACCACGACGTGCACTTCACGCTGCTGCAATCACCCTGAGCAGAGTCTCACAAACCACCACACTCCTAACCATTTACCCTAGCAACAACACCTTCTCAT